CCGGGCCGGGCAGGGCAGGGCCATGGGGAGCTGGAGACCGGCTCCGCTGTGGCATCGCTGGGGCAGGGGCTGACGGCCTGGGGGACTGACATGGGGTCCTGGGCTGTGGGCAGGGCTGGGGAGACCCGGGGGGCCGGGCAGGGACATTGCGGCCTGTTGGTGCCCCAGGGCCCTGACACTCTAAAGCTGTACTCATTAACAGTGCCTATGGAAGTATAGCTGAGTAAATTATGCAATTTTATGAATAAAACACATTTAAAATATTACCAAACAGCAGGATTGAGACCTATTAAAGCTATTAAAAATGCCAGTACTTTGTTCACATATAAGGTAACATACAGTTACTAACTGGTAGACATTATACAGTAGGGCTCGGTTGGAGGAGGGAAGAGCCTGCTGAGTGCAAGGCCTTTTCAGTTTCAGAAAGGAAGAAACACCTTCTCACTTATTTGATAACTTCCTTATTCAATCCCTATGAACCAACCTGTCTTTCGAGAGCTCTGAACACCTCAGCTTGCATTTCTCCTCTCACATGTGACTTTCACTGGAATAATTTGGCAGCATTTGTGCAGACCTTACCCAGCCCTTGGTGCTTCTGTTCCACCACTGGGGCCCCCTCCATCTCCAGCCTGCAGAGCAGGTGGGTCCTCTGGCTGCAGGGCAATTTGTACCTTAGTTTCTTCCTAGCAGAATAGACGGTCCATTCAGTCAAATCATGAAAGGAATTTATTTCTAAGGTAATACAAATTTATACAAATATTTCCATCAAAAGTGGAAAAAAAATCCAGTGTTCTTTTCCAGGTATAAGAGCTATCCAGACTTCTTAAAGCAGTGTTCATTAATAATCCTTCACTGAAGGCATCAAATTTTGTCAGATCAACACAACCAAGGTCATTAGTTATAGGAAAATAATCCTTCTTGACAGATGTAATGGAAAAAAACACTCAGTGTGTTAATGAAATTAATTTCTAGCACACATGTAACTCACATCTACTTGTTTACAAATTGTGAACCAATAATTGACATGAAACTGTATGTGAAATGTAGAAACACAAAACAGAACTATTACAATCTCAAGTACTTGTAGAAGAAGAAGAATCCCAATTAAGACCATCACAACACTCTCGCTGTTGTCTTATTGCACCAGTGGATAAAGATAGTTGCCCAAAATCTATGTCTCACTGTAATGCGTCAGTAAGGTAACTAAGGCAATTGTATCTTAGACTTCTGGAAAGTATTGGAAGCCTGGGTTTAGTGTTTGGAGTGGGAACAGGCCTTTCGTAGAAAAGACGAGAGATCGTCACAACTGACAATTCATCAAAACTGAAATTATTCCCAGAAGAGTTTCCTGTCCTCAAAAAAATTGGAAAAACAGGTTTTGAAATTCTAGAAATGTGCCATTTCAACATTTTTAAAACAAAAATTCTTGGTTTTGCTGTTAAAAGCATCTTCTCCTGTTGAAACTTAATTTAGCTTATATTAAAAGGTTAAAAAAAAAAAAAGCATTAAAATGAAATATGTCTGTCTGTTTCTTAAGTCGCTCATATATTCACTGAGCCCCATGCCAGGCCTAAAATTTCAAAATCAACAGAATCCTTGTGGGACAAGAAAACTGTTTTCTGTATATCCACACAACAAAGGGAATATTAGCCGTTCAAGCTCTTCCCAGTTTCCTTGCAGTGTGGCTCAAAAATTACTTTTGAGAACAACCTTGATGAATGGAAACAGTCTAGACCTCCAACCTTTCAAATGTTTAGCGACTTCTTATTCCCCTCCCCCTTTTTTTTATTTTTATCATTATAATTTTTAGAAGAGAGCTATACAGATAGTGTTTAGGGGACTAAAACCGAGGAGTTCCTTCCATCAAATCAACCCAAAATTATTCTTGTAGATTCATGAAATCAAAGAATTAAACATACAGACCTGTATTTCACTGTGGCCTTTGCATGGCAAATAGATGTCACTGTTGATGCTGAAACTGTAATGACAAACTGGGTTGTTTTTTCTTTAAAGGATAATATATTTGAAAAGCTTAAGAGCAGTCAGAGGCCACTCCTCTTGTTCAGCATCCAGCTTTTCCAATCATCTTTTCTCAAGAGCACAAAACACAGTAGCAAGAGAAAGTTGAACTTATTTGAATCAGCACAAGTTATATATTTATGGAACTTAAGACCAGAAAAGACTGCTTGATAAAGCAATTTGAATGCCTGTATGAGACAAGCTACCAAATTTCCTCTGAGCTTTCTTATATTGTGCTCCCTTCATTGTATCTGAGTGACACACTGTGTTTAGCTAAAGCATGTCTTGCAGACAGCCTTCCAGCTGAGGGACAGTTCAGATATTTATTTAGGCACAACGTACGTATATAGAAGTGAGCCACGAAGAGAGTTTTAGACACTCACAGAAACAAGGGTAACTAGCCATTGACTACAACCTAAAAACTAAAAATCTGCCTCTGGAATTACGCATCTCCATTCTGGACGCAAAATCATCAGCTTTCCCTGAAACAGTTGAAAAGCTGTTTTTCATGATGTTTTTTCAGATCTGCTAGCGTTAGTTAGGACATCCCAACTATGCTGTCCTAGCTATGCTGCTAAACCCACCTCTGTGGGTGGAAGACATACTGGCACAGGAGTAATTTTGTCTTATGATTAATGAGACAGTTTAACCATACTGAAGGAATACCTTTTGTGGTCACAAAAGGTATCATTGTGGTGATTGCTGATAACAGTATATGCTATACATATACTCAAAGCCCTTTGTAGTGTAGGCTACAGGGTTTTTATCAGAGAAACAGTTCAATGGAGTTATAAAGATGATGTTTGAGAGCCATCATGAAACGGCAAGGTCTTTCTTCCAAGCACGTAGTCACTTAATTCCTTCTTTCTTTATAGTAAGAAAAATATGTCTCAACATTGAAAAACTGTTTCTTTTCATCTCCAGCTGTTCAGTCAGGTACAACTTTCCCAAGCTTCCAACTGTTCCACTAGATTTAAGTTTCTGCAGGGCCCAATGCCCCAAAACACTGGAAATCTGGGAAAAAATGGTTTAGCTGTTCTCAACTGGAGGATTGCTATGGGGGAAAAAAAAAAATCTTCTTTTAAGGTTCTCTTTTAAACAGTGTGCCAGATCACCCTACAAGGAGGAGAAAATTACAGTTTAGCTTAGAAATGGTCTGCAATAATGAGAAGTATCTTAGAATTTCCTTCATGGATTGTCTTTTATTTCACCGAGTGAATCTAGCTTACTTATTTCAGATTTTAATGACTGAAATACATCAGGTAGGAAAGCAGCAGCATGCATGCTCACTTGTTTACACACTTTCATGAACTGAAGTACATTGACCTCTTTGGGGGAGAGGAAGAGTCTCTCTAGTCCTCAAAAAGGGATTTCCAATATTGTAAAATTATGCTAGTAATATGATTTGTAGTGACAGAAACATATAAAAACAGTACTACGGTCTGTAATTTTTTAAAATACTTTGGAATAATCTGCCCCAAATCAGGAGATGGATTCGCATTGCTGCTATGTTCATCACTACTTCTAAGGAGTTCTTTGTAATGGTATTTGTGAAATTACAGACCTATAGCTCTTAAGGCTAGAAAGGACCACATAGAATATCTCATGTTCCCTTCTCTTTAGTACAACCATATAATTTAACCCAGCTGTGTCGCCATTGTTTGCTAAAGCATACCATCCACTCTCAGTTTGAAGACCTCAAGAAATGGTAAGCTCACTGTTCCTCTTAATAATTTGTTCCAGTGGCTGATAACTTCATTGTTAGCAACTGAGGAGTATAATACTAATCTAGGTGGCAACCAAAAAATACTGGAAATAGCTCTACCTGTTTAAATGGTGGTGTTCAAGATAATTAATAACCTTCTCGCAAGGTCTGTTCATCGTAAAAGCAACAGGGCTTTAAGAATTATTTTTTTTTAAGCAACCACTACTTTGTGAACTTTTCGCATTTGTTTCTCATCATTTGGGTTTCTAGAAGCTTATAAAATTTGGAGGCAAATCCACGTTCTGGTTTCCATCTCCATAGGCCACAATGCTTTCAAACAATGACTGATACTTTCTTCTGTAGCTTTCCGTTATTTTCATGCAGCCTTTTTTCATGACAGAATGGAAGCCTTCTTCTCACAATGAAATTATTCCCATATGGACTCATTGCTGAAAATTCATGAGAACTCCTGCACATGCACAAAAAAGGAATAAGAAATGTGAATACTCCTTGGGATGCCACAAAACACATTTCCAGATAAAATAACAGTTTGCATTTTTGCAGACCTTTCCATCTTCAAAGCATTGGACATGCATTCATCATCAGAAAAGATTAGTGAAATTAAATGTCATAAACATTATTTTACTAAGGTTCTGCTTCACCATTACCATCAGATTAAACTGTCGCAGTTCAAGGGGTGATAAAACTATTATGTATGACTGACAGACAGCCTCTGTAGTGCACCCAACTTTGACAAGTACATCGCCAGCAGAATTCTTGGAAATCTCACTCCCTCGAACAGGGTTAGGATGTGGAAAGACTGTGTCGCACAAAGGCTGACTGCTACCATATATTAGGACCAGGTGGTCTTGATGGGTGGGCTACAACCCTCTTATCTGCCCTCCCTCTGTAAATCTGTACTTACTTTGAAGCTTTATCCTTACAAGTTCTGAGCCCTTTATTAGAAGCTGAGGCTCAGCAGCACTGAGGATTAGCGTTTATTGTCTCACTCATGGCCAGGCCTGTCTGAAGGCCCTTTTTTCTGTATGAGGTGCTTATTGATGGCAGAAGTCCTGTGGAGGATAATTCCCAGAATACATCCATACGTGGCAATGGACCACAGTGCAGAGACTCCTGAGCAAACCTGACAGCTGAGATAGTCCCACAGCATACTGCAGCACTATGCAGAGAAGCTGTTAAGGTCCCAAAAGCAGCTCAGCCATGTTTTTATGGCCCTGCACCCAACCAAGTCAGCCCTAGCTCTAGTTCAGAGTCACCTTGATACAGCTCTACCAGTTCAGTGCCCGTCTCACCATGACTGCAGCACCTCCATAACCGTGACATATGGCCGGGAATTGCCCACTGCAGTGGATTGTTATAGCGGTCAGCACTTCAGAAATCAACGTGTGATAATGCTGAAAAGAAAGCAAGAAAGTACTTTAATGTTTTACATTTATCATCTGTTACACTGACAGAGAGGGAAGCCTAAGTTTGACTGATTTGATCAAACTAAGCAGTTCAAGCATCTTCTACCTAATTTTAGGCCAAAGAAAATTGTAGCAATGCAGAAGCAGCTGATAAATCAAAAGCAGAAAAATAGGAATTAAAGCTCAGTTCAGGCCTTTCATCTTTATTACCCTTCTTTATGTGCATATGGTAGGTGTTCAACACTTTCTAAGTCCGTATGATACTCCCTTGTGCTTCAGGAGCTGTAGGGCTGTAGTTGTCTATAAAAAGGCAACCTAACAGTTTCCCGTGACCGCAAGTTGAATGTGTTATTTGTTACCAGCTGGTTCATGGATAGATTGAGCCCAAGTCTTGGCTTTAAGTGATCAGACTTACTTTAAACCACTTGCTCACAGGGTGAATTCATGTATAGAGAGAGTTCTGGCACAATGTTTTATTTCTGACTTATGGCATATGAGACTCTTTTTTTTCTAAACCAATATTAAAACCAGAACCTATAATACACCAAATGCAGACTGCATTTTTTGGAAAGCTGATACCAAACGTAACAGTAAATGAACCCTTCTGAAAGGTTAAAGTTGCTTTCATATAAAACATTTTCTACCAGGAAATGGAAGTGGAATGTTGAACTAAGCATTTAACTTGAAAGAACTGTGCACAGACTCCAACGGTTGCATTATCCTTTAAAATAAAAAAAGCAAAAGGTTTTTATGAGCATACATAGCTCTAGTTTCATAAAAAGGGTATTATGGTGACAAGGTAAAATGAATCCCAGTATTTTGGATGCTTCTTTTAACCTTCCAACAGCTCCCTCCCTGTGCATTAACCATTCTAGGGTGAGGTTTTGCAGTATGGCTGTATTCATAGAATCACAGAATCATTTAGGTTGGAAAAGACCTTTAAGATCATCGAGTCCAACCGTAAACCTAACACTGCCAAGTCCACCACTAAACCATGTCCCTAAGTGCCACATCTACATGTCTCTTAAATACCTCCAGTGATGATGACTGCACCACTTCCCTGGGCAGCCTGGTCCAATGCTTGATAACCCTTTCAGTGAAGAAATTTTTTCTAATATCCAATCTACACCTCCCCTGGTGCAACTTGAAGCCATTTCCTCTCATCCTAAACGTTCAGCTCTTATCCAGGACAGAGTTCAGCTCTATGCAAAGGACGTAAAGGAAAGCTGTTGAGGATAGGATCTGCAAAGAACATTCCCTGGCAGAGCTGATTGCAGGAAACAACACAACACTGCCAAGAGACCACTGAGCAGTAGCTAAGAGAGTGCACTGCTGGGGTCTCATCTTCCCCATGAACACAAATCTCACTCTTCAGCAGCTGTCTGACTTCACTGTCCTAGGGATACATATTACAGAGGGCCAGCAAGTAGTGTCCTTGATTAGGAGTTAAGGCCATTACTGCTTTAGTCCCACCTCTACTGTGCCACCACAAACAAGTTGCAACACACCTTCAGTTACCCCACCTATAAAATGAGGACAGTGACATTCACTTTACTGGGTAAAGTATTTGAAGGTACATCCCATAACAGAGGCTTTTATTTACAGTACTTCTATTACACTTTTTTTCCCTTCAACTGTTGTAGACAGTTGCTGTGCGCAGGAGCTGCTTATCTAACAGTCCTGCTCCCTCCACTTCTCCCTGCATCTTTCCTTCCCTGGCATGCAGGCCCATTCCTTCCCTTCCACTTTCACTGATTTTCACATGGCTCCTCAGTGAACTCAACTGGATTACTAAACCAAGAGAAAACTATTCATGCTTTTATTTTGCTGAGTTAGTTTTCTACCAGCTGGCAAGGTGAACCAGCTCTAGGGGTGATACAGAAACCAGAGCTGGTACAGAAGCAGCAATGGCTGAGAACAGCACTCCTAGATTTTCTTGGGAGACCTCAAACCCTTAAAGCACCCATTCTAAATAATGTGATTGCCTCTTACAAACACACTTACCATTTGAGATTGTGGACCTGTTGTACTAGCTTCTACAAAAAACTAATGAAAGTAAGTAATTGTACCAGATTTACCTCTTACAGAGACAACAAAGATAAATGGCAAACAGATGTACCATAGGGTAGTTGCCCATTCTCAGGAGTAGACACTCCTGCTTCAAGGGAGAGAGGGGAAGAGAAAAAAAAAAAAAAAAAAAAAAAAAAAAAAACACGAAAAAAAACCCACCAACTTTACACAGTTTCCTTGACTTTTGATTTTGATTCCTTCATCATTCGGGGGTGGGGGGAAGCCATTTAAATGAGTTTGGCACATTGAGCTACTGCTGATTTGCCAGATTCCAGTGTCCTCAAGTGTGACACAGCATTATTATTCAGTGTCCTGTATTTAAAATGAGAAGTGATTTAATCTGGCTCTCTGCCATCCCACTTGCTGACATGTTGACACCATGTAAATAATGCATAGCTGCGTAACCACACTACTTTCATGCCACATGCTGAGAGAAACAGACAACACCTGCTATTATTATTAGCCACATCTTTGATACCTTGGAAATCTGCAGAATAAACATCAAAATTAATTCAAACTTATTGTGGTCTCCAGCTCCAAACTCCTTCATTAGGACTCAAAGGTAACCTGTGCATCCACTGTGGTTAAAAACAGAGATTGCTGATTTACATCTCACATCCTTTAAAAGTCACCCTTCTAAGACTGTTACTAGATAACTGAGTTTGTTAACTGACACAAGAATTTCAACCAGCAAGATTTTTCTCTGTACAGTGTTGACTGAAAAGGCCACTGTTTTAGAAGAAAGCTCAAAGAGCAACAAAAACCCAGTTCTAGACTACAAAATTCTAGCTAACTAACTAACATCTGACACTGCTCCCTGCTAACATTAGCCAGTTTACTTCTACTCTTCTGATCATGTCAAAATGTAAATCTACCAATGTCATCAGGGCGTGCTCGTTAAACCACAGTGAAATCGTAGTTTTCACTGGGGAACATTGTAAAGCAAAGACAGCACATCTGATATGTTACCTACTTCTTACGTGACCGTCTTTTATCATCTAAATGTCATACAACCTCAGTCATATTGAGAGCAGACAGCACTATATACTGCTTTTCACAGGGCATTTAACAAAGTTGAAAGCTATCATCTATATCACTGGTCCCCAACTATCGCTACATATACCCTCCTTTCCAACCTCATGACTGCCAAGCAGAGAATGTGGCTGATTATATTTTTACCTTTCCATGGCGTACAACAGTAGAAAACTTGCTTGTCTTCTTCATTTCTCTGAGCCTATGCTGTCAGAGCAGGACCATGGTATGTATTTTTCCTGTGAAGACACACAGGAGTAACTGTTAAGTCAGGAGAGACAACAAAATACAACAAATGATGAAAAATAAAAATGAAGTCTTTATAGTTTAGAAATTGGGATGGCTGTGGTGTTGTGGAGAACTCACCTCAGTCCTCACTCTGTGGCCAGCACTAGAGAATTGCACCTATGTAAATATGCAGTTCCCTACTGACTTTAGATTCCCAAAGCCTGAAATAAGAGAGTATCTGGCTCCAAACCACTGAACTGTGCAACTAGATCATGATTTCTCAGGGAAAATGAGATATACAGCTTGAAATGCCTTGCCCAAATAAATTCCTTTAGAAACTTTGGAAACTAGCAAACATAAAAAAGAAAGGGAGGGGTTGGGGTTTTTTTCAGCTCCTATGAGACAGTCCGAGCACACAGAAATTTGGTTTATTTCTGCTCAAGGATGACTACATTGGACAGTATTCTGTACTTGTCCACATTGTTCAAAAGGATCAGCATTTTGAGAGTCCCAGACTGAGACCAATTCTTTCTGTTTTCTTCATTAAGAAGACCAGAAATCTTGTGGTCTCTTTTCAAAGGAATGTCTTTGTCCAGAATCTTGCCTCATAGATTTATTTGCACTATGTCATTTAGAAGAGAAAAGAACACTGGAACGACTTCCTAATTTCTTTAGTAAATCTGTTCTCAATCTACTTTATTCCAAGCATTTTTATAGACAGTTTCTTACATGATGTTCTCCTCTGAAGCTCTGTAATTACACACACGCACTGGTCAAACTTTCTCTTGACCGGAACAGACTTGTAGTAACTCCAGTAAATTGAAAGAAAAAGTTTGGGGGAAGAAGGAACGGGACGTGATAGATGAAGAACAGTGAGGAGACACAAGGCTCTTTGCCTGAAGAATTAGGGAAGAATAAAAACCTAAAAAGACTTCCATCTGCCCGTCACACATGAGGGTTACTACTGACAAACTGGAGTAGAAGGAAACACACTAATTATAGCATTAAACCTATAATTTCATTTACCTTTTTGGTCAATGTGACAAAACCGAAAAGACAGGGAGAATACTGAAGCATAATAATGAGGACTACAGTATATTATTCTTATTATTACTTTTAGAAAATACTGCGTTGACTCCTCCAATTCTCTGAGTTCAGTTTGCTCTCTTTTAGCACACGGTTATCTATGATGTATTGAATTTTGAGTATAGATAACTTACTGCTCAAGATGTGATTTCCATTCTGACAGTTGCTATGGGTAATGTAGATGCCCCTCACACAGAAGTGAAAAAGCCTGTCTCACGGAGGTTTTGTACAGTTTTTGTTTTGCCTGGGGTTTGGATTTCACAAGGCTAACTAGATTGCCCTTGTCTAGGAAACCCCGAGGGTAAAGCCAGATGGTGTCTGTGCGCAAGC